TTCCAGCAGTGAAATTCTGGGAGGAATCTTGCGCCGAAGGTATCCAAGGCGCTCCTTCGAGCTGTAGTCAATGATGTCCACTGGCAATCTGTTATGAAAGAACCTAGTAGGTTTGTTGTGTTCAATTAGCTAACTGGTAGAAAGAAGATGCATATAATGAAAAGAAAGATGCAAATAGTACAGCATACCTGTTCATTAAAAGATGTGTCGTTTCATTGTATGGTTGCACAATGAGACGGGTCCCAGGAGATGTCACGAAACAAAACGGCGGAATATGGGTGAATTCGTGGACATTTCGGGTGAGGCCTGTTGCTGTAATGATCAGAGGATAATGCACCTCGCTTCCATCAGCACTATGAATGAATTGTTTAATCCGCGCTTCCGATGTAGCTCACAAGTCCTTTATTGCCACTATGAAGTTGGAAGACAACTAATGAGTGTTAATACAGACCAATTTCCATTCAAACGTATAAAAACATAACTGATTTCGAAGCATTACCTCATGTCTTCAAGATAGATTTGGAACATAAATGTATCAGAATTGACCCCTAAGTGGTTCTGTTATGTGCGTCACGCATCCTGTGATTTCTGAAGCACGAATCTGGTTGAGTTATTTGGTTTGCATGTGGTCTGTAAATATTATATTTAGGGAAAAAAATATTCTGTGCATCAATTTAAGATGCAGGATGCTGTGTTCAGTTTGGTTAAGCACGAAGAAGAAATACCTGAGTAACAGAGTGGGAGACTTGCAGGAGAAACACTGTAATCACAAAGAACTTGATGGGCACAGTCATCTGGAAAAGTCATGGTGCTGCGATATTCATGGATTCCTTCGAACGCACCTCTATTTGTGAAAGACAATCTCAAAGTGGAAGGTGCAATTCGACGTTCAGATTTAGCCGGTATCACAGTTGGGTTTATCATGGTGTAGAGACAACCAAGGTTCATGTCTGAACACATGTCAGGAGAATTTCCACATCGCACAACAGCTTCCATAAGCTGTCCCTATAGCAGTTACAATGTTGGAAACATGTGTTCACTAAACATTCTATGTTTAAAGTATAAGCAGGAAGTAGTTTTGTTTTTTATAGACGTACCTCTTTGTCTAGCCAAAGCATTTGTATAGAGGTAGCAGATGTAGTTTCACAGGGGTCACATTCTGTCCAGATGTTCAGTAGGCGTGCCATGAGGAAAATGTTGTTGGTTCCCAGATGGAGTTCACGGAAGGTTGTGGATTGCTTCATGACATCTAAAACAAAGCGAAACTGCATGACAACACATAAAAGCATACGGAGATAAGGCTATTGTTCAGTAATGGGAAAATACCATGTGGGTCCGGTGGTAACATTTCGCTCTCTGTGTTGCCAAAAAACAGAACTCAGTGGCCAGGAATGTTTTGGGTGCAGGACGAACTTGCTTTCTATAGCTGCGGGAAGAAATATGATCACCAGAATAATGGGAAAGCTATCAGAAATAACAGTAGAAATGCACAGGTTATTGCACCAACCAAGAACCATGTGTTGCTCGCTATTTGGAGACCTGTCGACATTTAGCGGCAAAACAACAAATAGTCTAGTTTAGAAGGACATTCGATTAATGCATATGTCCCTTTCCAAGTCGATTATTCAAAACCTCACCCACACACACTTTTAGAGTCCCCCGTTAAATCCAAAGAGTAGGTCAGTAGAACTTTTGCCGTCCAAAGGGTACAGATGAACGGCTAGCAAAAACCTAAACACAGGGAATGAAAGACCATTAAAAACAATATCGAACTCACAGTCAACGCGAAAGTGTGGGCAGATGCTGACGCTGGGGGACTGGCAGCGTTTCTCTGGGCGGGTTATGCTGAAGGTGGGGGACCAGCAGCGCTTCTCTGGCCGGTTTTATAACTTAGGGTTTTTTGTTACGAACAAAGGGTGAGCTGAACGACAGAAAGACAGGCAGTTTATTTTAGGAGACAAAGTGGAAGGTTTGATGGAGAAAGCTATTGGGCCGGGCCAATCGGTTATGGTATGTTTAAAAAACTGCATCATGCATAATTGGTGGGCCGAATTGGTAAGTTGTGCATTTTTGTCGACCCAACTGGGGCGGAAGAATGTATCTAGAAATTATATCCATCATGGTTTAAATTGGCCCAGTTATAATGCTAGCGGGTGTTTTCGATAACCTATTCATAACTGGACTGATTACGCAAACTGGGCAAGTAATTAGGGTCTTGTTCCATCTTGCTTTTAAAGGTTGCTGGGGCAACACTGAGTACTCTCTGTCCATGTTAAATCTCCTCTCATCCGTGTACAAATCAGTCACATATTTGCAGGCGTTAATAAAGATCCTTAGGTTTGGAAGCCGTGCAGTTGCATAATTTGATTTTAGAGTGGACTTTCTTAATGATCAAATGGGTCCAGAGACTATAGAGCTAGTTTGGTGGTCAAACTCTCTATGTATCGATAGGCTGTCAAGTGATGTACCTGTTTTTTTGTTGTCTGCGAGCAAGCACATTATTTAGTCACATGGGCTCCGAGGTAGAGTTGCCGATAGGAAGGAGCACGTACAAAATGGCGAGACTATCTGTGTTCATTACAATGACATCGGAAGAGGTAACATCCTGGAGTCCTGGTGGCGAAAATACAGCGAAGGGCTTTCGCAAAGCAAATCTAAGGAACACAAAGACATTGAAACGAAATATATTTTACAAAACTAAATGCTAACCCTGAATCCTTATTTCTAAGACGCTTAAAACCAATCCTGAACACCTGCAGCATGACGATGCCAGACTGCAACAACTTCAAAGCGTTCATGCCTATCCTTACAGCAAGGCAACATTTTGATCTCAAATGTATAAGTGCGGTAAAGGACAGGTTGGAGGAGACGGCGAACATCTGCGTCTTCAAGGTCCCATAGAGGAAATGTTTGCAGTAATGCAGAAGCTGCTTCATGACTAATCAAGAATGAAGTCTTAAATGTCTCGTCACAGACGTCGGCTGAGATATAGAAACTATTTATGGTTGTATGAGAAATCTGAGTCAATTTGATGATTCTATCGGTCTAAGTATACTATTACTTTTATGTGCGTACCTTTTAATCCTGTCATCATGAGCAATGGATGCAGAGCAATTAGAACAGACATCATTCGGGGACAATTTATGTTTTTGTGGTGAGCATTCAGGGCACAACCAAGTAAAGAATCCAGATTGGTGATTGATTTTCTGAATTGTCGCCAAACACCTAAATGTTGCCTACAGATAAAGAACAAAGAAGGATTAGGGGTGTGTAATTTGAGTATTATGTGAATCATGGTAAAAGGTAAGGCAACATACACTGTTGCACGACGCAGTGTGCAGCGCATCATCCTCAGCCAACAGGAAAAGTAAGTCTGCTATCGAGTGGCATGGACCATGTCGTTGGACAGGTCTGATAATGTCATTGGCGCGCCATTGACTAATGTAGAAGATCGGCATATTCGAACTCGAATGTCTGCATCGAAATGAAAGACGAACAATGTATGCAAGATATGATCTAAAATACATACTGGGTTTTTGTAAAAGGATGCAAACCTGTAAAAGCTGGGCCTATGCATTCGTAAGGTTTGGTCAACGATGACCCTTGTACTGCATGTATTCTTGTAAATATTTTTCCCTGACTCCAAAAGAATGAAGAACTGAGGAACAGACAAAGCGGCGGCATGTTGTGTTGGCACAAATCTTACCATCTAAACAGTGGCCGACCATAGAAGTCATAGTTGCAATGACAGGCCCGTTTCGCTCTTGGCTAACAACCAATGCCTCAAGCGCATGCATGATCGAGTGGTCGACGATTTGGGTTAAAATCTGTCTATTGCTGCATGTAAAAGCAAAGAAGCACATCTAAGCAACACACATCATTCGGGGAGCAAAAAACTCATGAAGACTGAATACATGCCAATTATCTTCCAGGATAATGAGCTGGTGCATTGACATTACATCGCCTGGTGTATCCATGTAGGGTTTGGAGATGGCGACTATGCGGCCCATTATGTCTGGGTAATAATAATGAATCACTGAAGGGTTACAGGAATAACACGACACAAAACAAATGAATGGTGTATTTATATGGCGACTGGATAACCTGATCTCTCCTGTTTGGCAAGTGCACGCATGTATAAGTCAAAGAAAGGGACTGGTTCTGCCATGTCGGTTGGGTGGTAATCGGACGGTGGGGGTTCAGGAACAGACCGGAAGCTACTGTTGTTTGTAAAACGAAGTTCGGAATTATGTGAACAACAACGGCCCATCATTCTTGCAGGGGTAACGAAGAAGGAAGATATCATGTAAATTTTGCCCGGGCTAAAAACTGGCTGACCCAATTGGGGTGCGACAGGATCCGACGTCGCAACAATCAATATTCCCTGGGATGTGTCATAATGTAGAAATCAGCCAATGTAAGGACAAATAGATTCCGATAGATATAAATAGAAGTGCAAATGAAATACCTGCTTATCGAGTAGAAGATGATGATCTATATCATGGCCCGACAGCGGCTCCTCGCCATGTATGCAGATGTCGAACCTGAAGCAGTTCGTCCGTGTATCCAAGGTCAAGCTGATTGATCTGTATTGTTTCGCCCATGACTGGAAGCTCTGTTCGCTGCGGCGGCCGATTCTTTGCGAGAGGAAGATTAAGGACAGAGAATACCCTAGAGAAGC